CGAATCCTGGATCCCTGTAAAGAAGACAGCAGCTTTACTTTGAGAGTTTTGGTGAATAAGCTGCCTTACAAATAATTTAAAATAAAGATAAAGATAAACTTTATTGATCCCCTGTGGGGGAATTTGTGCATTACAGCAGCTCCAGAAAACAGGGGACGGGAATATACTTATTAAAAATAAAACTAGAAGTTAAAATCAAATCAAACATATTTACATCATTTAAATAAAATAAAAAATACAATAATGTAAAATTACACAGTAATTAAGGATTCTCTTAAAAAAACACACACACAGTGTGTAGCATGAAGTGTGATGTTGTTAAAGAGTCTGATTAAACAGTCTGACTGCAGATGGGATGAACGACCTGCGGTAGCGCTCTGTCTTGCAGGGTGGTGTCTCAGTCTGCTGCTGAAGAGCTGCTCAGGGCCCCCACAGTGTATGCAAGGGGTGAGAGGGTTGTCCATGATGGATGTCAGCTTCACTAACATCCTCCTCTCACCCACCTCCTCTACAGAGTGCAGAGGACAGTCCAAGACAGAACTGGCCCTCCTGACCAGTCTGTTCAGTCTCTTTCTGTCTCTCTCCATGCTCCCTCCTCCCAGCAGACCACTGCATAGAAAAAGTGCAGACGCCACCACAGTGTCATAAAAAGTCTGTGCAGAGTCCTGCACACTCCAAAGGACCTCAGTCGTCTCAGCAGGTGAAGTCGACATTGGCCCTTCTTGTACAGGACGTCGGTGTTGTGTGACCAGTCCAGTTTATTGTTGAGGTGAACACCAGGTATTTGTACGTCTCCACCCTCTCGATGTCCAAGCCCTGGATGTACACCGGCGCAGTCTGGGGTGACTTCCTGGGAAGTCAATCAGATCTCCTTTGTCTTGCTGGCGTTGAGCTGAAGGTGGTTGAGCTCACTCCAGTCAACAAAGTCCATGATGACCTGCCTGTACTCCTGTTCGCTCCCCTTAGACACACACCCCACGATGGCTGTGTCATCGGAGAACTTCTGCAGGTGGCAGCTCCCAGAGTTGTAACAGAAGTCCGAGGTGTACAGGGTGAAGAGAAAAGGGGAGAGAACTGTCCCTGCGGGCCCCTGTTGCAGACCACCATGTCAGACTCACAGTCCTGAAGCCTCACGTACTGTGGTCTGTTGGTGAGGTAGTCCGTTGTCCATGCAGCCAGGTGACAGTCCACTCCCGCCCTCTCTAGCTTCCCCCTGAGCAGTGCAGACTGGATGGTGATGAAGGCACTGGAGAAGTCAAAGAACATGACCCTCACAGTGCTGCCGGTGTTCTCCAGGTGAGTCCAGGATCTCTGCAGCAGGTAGATGACGGCGTCATCCACCCCGATGTTCGGCTGGTAGGCGAACTGCAGAGGATCCAGATTTGAAGTCATCAGGGGGCGGAGGTTGTTGAGGACGATCCTCTCCATGGTCTTCATCAGGTGAGAGGTGAGGGCACAGGTCTGAAGTGGTTAGGCTCCCTGAGGTGAGATGTCTTTGGGACTGGCACCACGCAGGAAGTCTTCCACAGAGTCGGTACCCTCTCCAGTCTCAGGCTCAGGTTGAAGATGTGCAGAAGGACCTCACAGAGCTGGTCTGCACAGTCCTTCAGGAGTCTGGAGCTGATGCCGTCGGGACCTGTGGCCTTCCTCGCCTTGATCTTCCTCAGCTGGCTTCTCACCTGATCAGCTGTTATGGAGAGGCTCGGAGGAGGAGGATGAAGAAGAGGAGGGGGTTGTTGGGGGTCGTCTGAGGAGGAGGAGAAGGAGAGGGCTGTTGAGGGGGTGGCAGGGTACTCAGGGTACTCAGATGGAGAAGCGGGCTGGTCTGCGCTCTGGTGGGTGGGTGGGTTGGGAGCAGAATCAAATCTATTGAAGAACAGATTCTGTTCATTTGCCCACTCCCTGTCTCCTGCTTCAGGGCCCCTCCACGCCTTCTGCTGTGACCTGAGATGTTATTCAGGCCCCTCCAGACTTCTCTTGCATTTTTATGTTGTAAATCTTCCATCTTTTCCCGATAGCTGGCTTTCCCTCCTTGATTTTAATCTTGAGCTATCCTTTTGCACCCTCCTCAGCTCCTCTCTATCTCCAGATCTAAAAACCCTTCTCTTTTATTGAGCAGGGTTTTCAGCTCAGGGGTCACCCAGGGTTTGTTGTTGGAGAAACACTGTATTTTTTTGGTGGGTACAGTGTTCTCAACACAGAAGTTTATGTAATCTGTGATGCAGTGGGTTAAACCGTCGATGTCCTCCCCATGTGGGCTGCACAGCACCTCCCAGTCAGTGGTGTCGAAGCAGTCCTGCAGCGCCTCAGTGGCCTCCTTAGACCACTTCTTCACATACCTGGTTGTGGGGGTTGTTTTTTCACCATAGGTATGTAAATGGGCTGCAGTCTCACCAGGTTGTGGTCTGAGCGGCCCAGAGGGGGAGGGGATGATCTGTATGCAGCCTTGGTGTTTGCATACAGTAAGTCCAAAGTTTTATTGTCCCTAGTATGGCAGTCAACATACTGAGTGAAAGTAGGGAGAGTGGCAGACAGGGAAACGTGGTTAAAGTCTCCTGAGATGAGAGTAAGAGACTGGGGTGTGATGTCTGTAGCTGAGACACTACACTGTGGATGAGTTCACAGGCTGCAGCAGCGTCTGCCGAGGGGGGATGTAAACAGTCACCGCGATGACGTGTGAAAACTCCCTCGGCAGGTAATATGGCCGAATGCTTACAGCCAGCAGCTCCACATCCTTAGTGCAGCGCTGTTCTTTAACGGTGATGTGCCCAGAGTTACACCATCTCTCATTCACATACATCGCTATTCCCCCGCCTTTCTTCTTACCGCTCTCCCTCGCGCTCCGGTCCGCTCTGACGAGGTGGAAGCCGTCCAAAGTTACGAGCGTGTCCGGAGTGAGTTCATTCAGCCATGTCTCCGTGAACTGCATGATGCTACACTCTCGGTACTCCCTCTGAAGCCGGTGAGCGCCGTCAGCTCCTCCATCTTATTAGGGAGAGATCTTACATTCCCCATAATTAAAGACGGCACGGATGGTTTGTACCGTCTTTTCTTTTCCCGGCACTTCACTCCGGCTCTGCATCCCCTTCTCTTCCTCCGTAGTTCTGCGGGATGTCCGGTCTTTCGGCTGGATGTAACCGAGGCTGGCACAGCGCAACCAGCTGTTCACGGGTGTAAACAATGGAGCCCAATAAACAGAAGAAATATTGCGATAAAAAATGTTTTAATCAATATTTAGTTCTTACCTTTTCTTCGGGCATTGCTTTGCCTTGTCAAGCTCAGATTTGCTGTAGAAATGAACATGTTGGATAGGGTCCTTGTCGTCCATGCCATAGTCCATTTCAATGACCTAAAATGAAGGTTGAGAGTAAAAGTATGTCTGCAGTAACAAATTTTGCAACATCTTACAAATCAAAAAATCTGCAAAACCCAAGATTTTACAAAAAGGTGAAATGAAAGAAAGTCAAAAAAACTCACCAGGATTTCAAAGTCCTTTGGTGTCAGGTTTCTTTCTCCCTCAGCCAGTCCTTTTTTCCAGCTAGGAATCAGGCTCTTGAAAATGGAGCAGAAAAGTTGAGAAGAGTGCGAAAGGATAGAAAAGGTTTTTTGCATTTTAAGTTGACAATGTAAGCAACTTGGAATTCATTTCACATTCACTCAAAAAACTGCACCAACTTAGTGTAGATATTTTTGACTGTAGGGCTGCATGGTAGGATTTAAGCATCATTTTTGCTATGTGTACAAGTGCTATGATAACATTACAGAATATATAATATCAATCATATGTCCTGAAATGCATCATTTCATGCCATTTTTTGTTATTTTTGCTTTTGAATAAACAAAAAGCCTTCAGTTTCTCTCTTTCCATGACTGATCTACAACATCAGTCTGTCTGATCCTCTTCCTGATCACAAAGAGAAGTGACTTCTGTGCAGGCAGAGTCTATGTGCACATAAGATGTAGAGTTGAAGGGATCACATGCAGTGTGTGACGATGAACTGTTCTTTACTGTCACAGGGCTCTTGATGCAAATTAAAAGTCACTTTGAACATATAAGGGGTTTATTTGAAAAAGAAAATAGAATTGAAGGCCCAAATGATAATACAAATTGTAATTGTATGAACCTCAAAGGTTATCGCAGTTTCCCCAATATCATGCAGCATTAGTTGACTGAGGATTTTGTATTGTAAGACATTTCAAGCTGCTATCCAATTCACATTGCATTTCAAAAAGAGAACTGTTCAATAGTGTTGTGTTCATGTTAAATGTAATAACAACACGGGCAAGATAAAATGCTGGAGACAGTAAATAATGTGATGTGTACTTATTCTATTAACTGAAAATGAACATTATCCAGCTTTGTGATAACGTGCATTAGATCATGTGTTATAAATGTAATGAAACACAAGAACACACAGACTTACTTCCCAATCCTGGATGGGGTCCTTCGCTTGTCTCACCAACAAACTTGTAGATCTTTCGAGAGATGATGTTTTGCAGAATCTCTCTTGCCTTTTCTAGCTCTGAGCAGGAAGACTTCAGTATTTCCTCAAACACGTTGTCTAAAAGAGTAACAGAGTAACAAGCAAACAAATGATAATAACACACACAAAATTAGTGAATTTAATTTAAACACACGCAATAAATTGTAAGACATGGCATGTTATTTATAAGTCATCACAAGTAAATTAACAGGATGTGGTTTATTTATCTTTAACAAATGCACGATAAAAAAAATGGATAAAGTAGCATAACTGTAAATGACCTAGCAACAGAGCCATCTGACAGAAAGCAGCATCTAACAAAGTGTGTTTCCAAAAAGTGTTGAAATATGTCATATTTCTGTTACTTCATAAATAAACATCCTAAATATCAAACAAGTTCAAATGATCAGGACAGCCAGTTGTTCAGGATGTTTGAGACTGGATTTGTGAACTCCTCAAACTACCAGATAACCTTGTCCTTGGCCAAACATCAAAACGACCAAGTGCCTACACACAATTTCCTTTTCAGATTGTTGGGTGTAGTGCATTATTTAAACAATGTCTTGATACTCCTGTAGTCTGAATTGGTTCAATGTTAAACATGAGCTAACAGCACACATTTAAATCTACACACCTGTGAGCTTTGTGTAGGCCTCCATGTCCTCATTGGCTGTAGAGAGAGTGAACATCCTCCCTCCTGATCCTTCAATCTGATGTGACCGTCTGCTTTAAAAAAAGCCTCTGCAATCCTGTATGTTCATATCAAACATATTATTACTGATGAGATAGTGAATCATGATGCAGATCAAATAATGGAAATCAGAAGGAGACCAATCTTATATTTGGAGTAATAACTTCTGAAGGTAGACACTTACATTTCTTGTATGATTTGGCTTACTCTTGTGCTGACAGGCTCTTTTGTGAGACAGTGTCTTGTATATAGAACAAGTGTACATATGGTCTTCCTTCTGTTGAGGTTAGGACTGTAGTTTAGTCATAAATAACAACATTATCAGTTTGCTTTCAATTATCTCTTTACAAGCTCAAGTGGTCAGCACCTTGTCTCTGGTGCAGATAGTTTTCCTTTTTCCTTCTTTGCAGTCTTTGTCTTCAACCTCACACACTCTGGCAAACTGCAGGAAGCGACGAAAGTCAAAGTTGTTCTTGATCCCAGGTAGGAAGAGTCCCTGAGTAGAGCAGATTGAGGCAAGGTGAAGAAAATAGGTGTATAGAGGGAAACTGAATTTACTGGAGAGTTTTGTAGCCTATAATTTAAAATAATCAGGAGAATAATGCATTGTTCACGGTAAAAAAAAAAAGAAGTGCTGTAGTGTCTTCATCACAAAATGAAATTGCTCTACAGTACTTCATTAAAACCTGACCTGGCCAAGTAGTCAAACTTGTCCACATCAACGCCGTTTTTTTTGTTGGACACAATTTCGTAGAGGAAGGACTTTTCTTTTGGCGCCCTTTGACGGCACTGCAGGGATGACGACACAAAGCGAATCAGGACCAGTTTTATTGACACGTATGTTGTTGTCAATGAATTTACACTGCATAGAAAATATGTAGGACC